CACTTCCAGGCTGGATCTAAACCTAAGATGGCAACTCTAATGTCGGCGTCCCGATCAGAGATTATTGTCAGGTTCGTCCTCCTAGTGACGTGGAGTTGAATTTGCCGGAAAAACCATCCATTGCTATCAGCATTCTCTCTCTCAACAATGGCGAAGGCTAAAGGAAAGACTTGTCTGTTTGCATCCGCCCCCACTGGCAATCAGGAGAGTGCCCTTGTACTTGCCGGTAAGGAATGTACCATCCACTTGGATCACAGGGACACAGAAGCCAAAACCATTAATAGATTGCTTGAATGCCCAAAAAAGTCGTCTGAAATGGTGTTTGTTACCTGGCTCTGGGGGTTGTATCTCTTCATCTTGGTATCGAGGGGAGAAAACAGTACCAAGGTTAGACGCCTCCAATGCCAAAATTAACCTGGGAAGGAATGCATATGATTCTTCCCAATCACCAAAGACGGCGGCCAGAGCTTTCTGCTTTCCATGCCACGCCTTCTTATAGTTAATCATATAACCATAACGACTTGCAATGTCAGCGATTATGACTTTCACCTTCAGGTCCGGATCTTGCTCGATTAGATGCTTGATAGCCGCAGCAACCACCCTGGATTTCAACTGTCGATGGCCTTGGGAAGTTATGGATGACACACATGTGTGTGTTCACCGCATGGGATATGACCCAGTGGTCGTGTCTCTTGCTGTTGATGGCCCGAAACCTAACATTGCACCCCTCGCGATGATTACGACATCTGACTAAGAGCCTTTTAGTGTTGGAATGAGTTGTGTGCCATTCAAAATGCCGAGTCATTCCTTCAGTCTCAATGGCGTGCCTCACCTCATTCTTCGAGCCAAATTGTTGGCCTTTCATAAACGCAGTGAGTGGACCCCATACTGGGACCTCTGGCGGCTCCATGTCACTGTCGACCATCCAATTGTCGTCTGGAATGTGATTGTAGTAGGGGACTGGTACACGGTCACGAGCCACCTCATCATCATTATCTGAGTCTGACTCTGGTCCTGAATCATCAGCACCTTCAAGAGGGTCGGAGCTGTCTGCACTTACGTTGTTCTCTCCTTCTTCATCAGAGGGGTCACTAACTGGTGCTGGCAGGGCAGCTTCCATCTGATCCAGCTCATGAAAGGCACCTTCATCAGCTCCATAATGGTAGTTGTGAAAACTACTGCTGCCTGATTGGAAGTTGTACTGAGGTTGGTTGGGGAGGTCCGGTTGAACTTCTTCTTCATATGACGGGAAAGATTGATGATGACCTTCACCTAGCTCTTGGTATTGAAAATAGGAATGAGGATCATGGTAACTTTGGTAGGGATGATCGCCATATAATTAACCTCCACCATGGATACCAGATGTTTGACCGTGTCCAGAATGACCTCCAACGCCAACGGCCGCCTCGGTGTAAACGAACATCTCGGCTTTGGAAAGATTGTTGGACCTCAAGAATTCGAGCATGGAATCTACTTCATCCTGAGTGGTTATGAGATTATCCTCATGCCACAATAACCCACTTTCTCTGTTTGGATATCGGTACACCATACGATCAACTCTTCTCGTGCCATCCATGCAAGTAACGTTAGTGCACATTTGATGGAGGTCTTCAAGCAGCGGTCTGGTAGCGACCTTTTATTTTATGAAAATTGCCACCGACGTAGGTGACCCCCTTTCCGGTCTCTTCCGTGTAACCATTCCATCGCAAGCCAAGCGTGAACTTTTGGAATGCCCTCTGCACAAAAATCATAGTTTAGTTAATATCATAAAAATCACAAATCACAAATAACAATAAAAAGTAATACAAAATAAACTTACGAGTTAACGTTAATCGCAAAAACACTAAAGAAATATAGAGCTAGAACAGAAAATTGAAAAGGGAGAAGGAGAGGTGTGAAGAAGAGGTTTTCCGTGCAGTCTTTTATAGGCAAAATCACTTATGAAAACCGCACCTTAGAGATGCGGTTTTCGTCTGCCATGCATCCCCACTTCTGTTATTCTACATGGCTATATGTCGGGTGTCGGAAAATAATCGACACACAAACCGCACGGGGGGAGGGGGGGGGGGGGTTGGGGTTTGTGTGGCAAAACCGCACCTTGGGGATGCGGTTTTGTTTTGGAGAAGCTAACCGCATTTCCAAGGTGCGGTTTTGCTAGGTCAGGCCAAAACCGCACCTCGGTCATGTTGTCTATGTAGGTCAGACCTGAAACCACATAGCCAAGATGCGGTTTTGGCCCAGGATAATAAACCACACCTCTAAGTGCGGTCCATAAAAAAGGGTGCTATTTTTGTAAATATTTTCGGGTGGGTGCTATTTTTGTAATTTTTTTTAAAGGTGCTATTTCTGGAAAAATCCCATGGATTTGGTACCAAAAAACCAACCATCATGGATTTACACACAATCCGTTGTTTGCTTTGTCAAAAAATAATTATATAAATCTGTGGGCCCCACGGATTTGGGTTTTTTTTTGCTCCAAATCTATGGCCCCACGGTTTTATAAATCCCACCTCATACCCTGTGATTTGGAGACAAGCTGAAAAACCATGCCCACCTCATCAAATCCATTATAAAAATAGCTCAACTAACAAAGGATTTCCTCAAATCCATAATGCCCAAAATCCCTAATAAATCCCAAGGTTTTTTTAATTAGCAAATCCATGACAACTCTCGTTATAAAATTCTTGAAGCAAATACTAATTTTAGCTCGGTCGTAATATTCATGCATTATTTTGTTACTTTTAGGGAGTGCCCATGTTGTTTATTTGCCTAAAGAAAAAAAAAAGCAAGCAAATAAAAAATGCAATACCAAGATACAAAATATCATGAAATTTGTAGATATCGATTTGGGAAATCTCTATACGATTGACATCTATGTGGATATTCGGCTCGCACTAGAGGCAACACTGTCACACATTAAAGAAGTGACACTTCTCATAGTGTAATGCCTGAACAATGTTATTCGAAAAAGAGGTAATTGCTAGTAAAATCGTAATCGCCACAGTATCACAAATAACCTTTTAATTAATTTAACTTATACTGTTGTCCTTACGGTAAGTGGCAGAGATTGGGAAATAATTGCTGATTTGGTTGCTAATGCAGAAGGGGTTAAGACTGAAGAGCACGCGTGTTGAGCAGATTTGTTGGGTTCTGTTCTTGCCTCTGGCTGTAGCTGGGCTGGGATTACATTACACATTTTTACATTATTACAGACATCCGATGGACAGAGACAGAGACAAGGAGAGTACATGAAAAGTCGTGTGCGCAAATTATATATTTAAGAAGGCCAATTAGCTAGCATCGTAACATGGGATATTATTGAATTTTAATCAACCAAAAGGACTTCCATTTCCATACCCATGACCCATCTATATTAATTGAACCCTTCGTGCACATGGATTCGTTGCCAAAGTTTGATGCATTTTTCTAGGTAGTCATGGCCATAGTAACATATAGAAGTAATCCCGCTTTTTCACACTTACACAAAACGGTCAAATTTCCACAAACTACGATGTATCTACACACACTTTACAATGTGATAGCTTCGGCGGCACTTACCCAACCGTAAGATTATTAAGAGAGCCCCAACAACCAATCAAGCTTTGTGAATTTTAAGATTTGTCCGACGTATAAGGGTTGAAAACTTTTGCATTGTGTAGTGTCAGCATTGGGTAATATATTTTAGTTACAATCTTCCCTTAAAAGGGTATCAAGAAAAGATGTGTCGTCCTGAATCCTGATTGAAGGGTTAACCAAAACTTCTTAGCCTTCCAATCACACATTGTGTTGGCCATCATTGTCTGCTGGCTGACTCAAATCTTTGTGGACATATCCAAACTTCAATTCATTTTTCACCCGAGCTTAAACCTTGATTTCTCTACATATCCTCCTCGATGTCAACCTAAAATGAGGCATTTTTTTTTGTATTCTTTGGATTAGGAAATGATAATCTAATTCGATGTTCTCTGGTAAGGAATGATACTTGGTCTCCACCTCCATTCTGAAATATTCCGCCTTGGCCTCTGCAAATTCCGGTAGCCACTGTCTTCCTGTTCTCCGAACAACGGCCAGGCAACATTCCCCCTTATCATAATTAATTATAATTGTATTATTGTTAATGAATGGATGAGAAAAAAATCATGGAAATGATATAATCTATGCTTGGCAGGAAATCGCACTAAGGAAGCTATAATGACAAGGTAAGAATGATGGCTCAAAATAACATGTAAGATATCCTCCCTTTACCTCATCATTCATCATCATGCCTTATACACTTATCCATAGTGATAGCCATTTTAGCACAATGTTGGATTACAGACCATACTTCCTATATTCGTACTTTTTGTATTGAAAAAAGGTTTTGAATTAAAACTTACATAATTTTCTTAAAATAGGGTCGATTGCTTGTTAGATTGAAAATGAGGGTTTTGAGTTTTAAAAACCTTTGGAATTATGATGAATTTGGAAGAGTGCATTGTTTGTTTATTTAGTTTTTATCATGAATTTATGATGGATTTGTCTCACATTTTTTGTCTGGCCTAAGTTCTGGTCCTTAAGGCCTCTTTTTTAAGGAAGAACTTAAAGCCTTGTGATTGGCTAATTCAAGATAAGGTAGTTAGTAGGAGTTATTAGTTAAAAAGTTGTTAGGGGTATTAAGGAGAATATAATTAAATTAAAACATGTCTATTATTTTAAAAAACCCTAAGAGCGGACGGTTTATTATTTTCAAAAACCCTACGCGTGTCCGTCTCTGCCAATTTTTCTCGTCGTCCCTACTTCTCCGTCAACGGCGAGTCCGTCGCCGTTGAAGCACGAGGCCGTCGAGTTCCCGAAGCCTTGACGATTTTTTACCATTTCTTAATAATAAATCACATCAGTAACATTTAACATACCATTTGTAACAATTTCTTTTTACCTTCTTGCAGTGGTTTTTTCCTGTGTGCATCGCAACACACTATGTCGTTTTCTGTGTTGACATCCAGAAGAAACAATACCAATTTATGAACGGCAAAAAATCAGATTGGGATAGCGGACCTTACAAAGATATGGGGGAGAAGCTTGTCAAGTTCGTCATTGCGTTCTGTGGCTGGACAGACAACCGTTGCATTAATTTCGATGAGTTCACATGGGAGATTGACCTTGGTTTCAAACAGTCAAATGACACTTCTTGTGGTGTTTATGCTCTCAATTTTATGGAGTTTTGGCAGGGGACTAGGGAGCGCGGTTGGAAGACCTTGTGGGATAATGATATCTACATCAACATGAGGAGAGCAGAATGTTGCAGGCGTCTGTTGTTGGACGAAGCAAACCTTAAGCTTCCATATCTGACAGAGCAGGTAGAGAGGGAGGAGTTACTACAGATTGCTTCACAATTTGGATCCCAATATGGCTAGGAGTATTTCTTCAGATTTTGCAAACAACACAATGTTCAGAATTTTTCCGTTTCTTGGCAATGTTCACAACTTTTTCGTTTCTCTATGTTTTGGATTCCGACTGGATTATTTCGACGGTTTTTTGCAAACTTGGAAATGTTCAGAAATTTTGTTGAATGTTTATTAACAGTGTATCTTATCATTAGTTATCAAGTTATTAAACCACGATTGTTAACAACCATTGATTATCAGTGTTCATTAACGATCATAGATTATCAAATTAGTATAACACAATTATTAACTTTTCCCCCCAATTTATTAATATAATTCCGATGATTTATTTGAACACGATTATAATTTTGATGCGTTAGATTATCAGAATTAGTAGAACGCAATTATTAACAATTTCTCTCAATTCATTAATATTTTTGAAACCTATTGTCAATTGTAGTAGTCATATATGTAAATAGAGTTAATAATTGTGTTAACGTACGAATGATGGTAGTGCTATACCTGTCATGGACGTTCGTGATTTTAATATTGATAACATGGGTAAGTTAATAATTGTGATTACGACAATTGACAATAGGTTTAAAAAAAATTAATGAATAGGGAGAAAAAGTTAATAATGGAGTTCTACTAATTCTGATAATCTAACGCATCAAAATTAAAATCGTTTTCAAATAAATCATCGAAATTATCTAGTCGGAACCCAAAACATAGAGAAAAGAAAAAGTTCTGAACATTGCCAAGTTTGCAAATAACCGACGAGAAACACCTCTACACTAATGTTGGTTTCCAAACACCTCATGTATGGTTAAACCTTCTGCTTCTTGGCAGCCTTCTTTTCCTTATCCTTCTTTGTCTTATTGAAATCCTTCGCCCTCTTCTCCCTGACAATTGCTTGTTTACTCTTCAACCTTTTCCTCTTCCGGGTCAGGTCAGGCCTCTCTTTGAAGACGGTAGTGGAAGGATGTTCACCCTCATCGTCCGACCCTGGATTATGCCAACAGTACAAAAACAAATGATCAAACATATGACATTGATCACACATATATATAATAATATATATGTGCAAGGGTGTCCTCGTTTTCTTTTTCTAACCTGGTCGGACAGGAGGTGCAAGGGTGTCCTTGAGCATTGCTTCTGTTTGGGATTTTATAGTGTGAAGACTTTGTAGTAGGAACTCGTATACGCTATCATGCATGCATACATTTGTTACAATAGAGTTCACCATTCCAGTTACCTCCTTCACCCTTGAGCATTGGATACCTTCAAATGTAGTCCTCGAATTCAATGTTGCAAAACCGCCTTTTGTCTTCACAGCACGTGACCATCGGTCTAATAGGTAGCTCGACGGAATTGTTGACAATTGCGGATATTCTACATAACCCTTTAGTTCCATGAACCGTAGTATGTGCCGACACAACCAACCACAGCTCTCAAATTTCATGCACGAGCATTTGAGAATGCACCGTGGTACATCAACGAATACAACCCTCTCGTCCAACTTCGATCCATCATTTTCATCGCTTTTCCAGACATCATATGCAACCATGTCATCTTGATGTCTTTCCGCATTTATACCGATGTGGAAGGCATGACTATTAGCATATTCCTCCTGGAACTCTTCAAAAACAGTTGGCGTGTAGAAGCTAGCTCCTTGTTGAAGGAAATTACTTTGATGTACCTGCCAGTTGATAATTATCAATAAAAACGAAATTATTATTAGCTTAATCATTTGGATTATTAACAAAAAATAATACCAACACGATTATTAATATTTCCCCCCTACCTTAATTTTTATAATTATTAATGTTATTGTTTACATTACCAAGATTTTTCGACCTTATTATCAACTAAAAATTCGATTGGTTATGTCTTCGACATGGAGCTTTTGTACGTAATTGCTCATAAATCAGTAATAAAAACGAAAATATTATTAGCTTAATCATTTGGATTATTATCAAACAATAATACCAACAAGATTATTAATATTTTCCCCCTACATTATTAAAATTTTTACTTACATTATTACTGATTTATGGCCAATTACGTACACACAAAAGTCATTTACTTACAGTATTAAAGCTTTTATGGGCAATTATTTACTTTGTACAATATAGCTACAAATATCAACACACAACATTAACAACAATATCATTAATCTTTTCATTCACATTATTAACATATTTACGTACATTATTACTGATTTTGTGTCCAATTATTAACACCTACAAGTCATTTACTTACAGTATTACTGATTTTTTTGGGCAATTATTAACAGATTACAATATAGCTATAAATTTAACAACGTAACACGATGTTCTGCAGCTGGTCGCGCGCATCATAATCACTGCGCACTTCTTGAGCTCTTTTTATCTCCAACATCGCGTTAAATTGTGTGAAAAACTGGTGTAGATTTTCATCGGTGGTCAAAAACTCACGGAGGACGGAGTTGCATGCCTCACTCAGCTGTGAACTCCGCATTCCAGCAGTGAATTGCTTGTTCACCCATGCGGCTGACCATTTCTCCTTCACCTTAAACATACGATTCAACCATCTAACTTGCTTCTTTGGCAATCCCACTGAGACTGTCGCCATCATTTCTTCCCAGTGGAAATCAAATTGCTCGGGTGTCTCCACATCATACATCAAGTAGCTAATACATTCAGCCACTTTACCTTTCCAAACCTTCTTGTCCTTCCCATTCTCTCTAAGATGGTATGTGCAAAGCCCATGAAAAGTCTTCTCATCCGATATATCGTTATTGATGGCACTTTTAATACCAGCAGCAATTGCAGCAGCCTGGTCCGTGAAGATCGATGTTGGTCTCTTTCCAGACATGCACTCCAGAAAAGTTCTAAACAACCACTCGAACGACTCCGTAGTCTCGTCATACAGTAGTGCAGCTCCAAACACACAGAGTTTTCTATGGTGATTGAATCCAACAAATAGAGCTGCAAAAAAATTGATAACGGGTTTAAGACCCTATTATTTATGGAACGGTATTCATAGTAAAAAATTGATAATCTGTATAGTGTAATTACTGATTTAACATCAATTCTTTCATGAGACCAACATTCACAACAAGATTATTAATCTTTTCACTTACATTATTAAGATTTTTACTTATAGTATTAACGATTTTATGGCCAATGACCAACACCCACAAGTCATTTACTTAAAGTATTAATGCTTTTATGGGTAATTATTAACAGAGTACAATATATCTAGATAATTATTATTATGGGCAATTATTAATGATTATAGTATACTTAAAAATTTACAAGTCTACATGCACGAGCTTGATAATGAGTATAATATAATTAATAATGGTACCAAACACATACCTAACGGGCGACAATTTTGATTCGTTCGATAGGTGGTGTCGAAGCTTATTGAATCCCCAAAGTGATGGTAGTCCATTCTCATTCTTCCATCAGCCCAAAATACTGCAGACATCTCCTCGTTCACGTCCACTGACACCCTATAAAAGAAGGAGGGATCACATCTCTGTTCCTCCTGAAAGTGTCGATACAGGAATGTGGCCACCCCATACTCCATTGTCTTCGCCCTCACTGTTCTAATGCAATTCTTCAAGTCCTCTGGCAGGAAACCAACATTCTCCCTACCACCAGCAGCTAAGCAGAATGTAGCATAGCTAGCCCGTGTTTTTATACCTGCAGCCTCGTTCATTTTAGCAATACAAAGTTGTGCTTCAGTGATATTCCTGTTAGAACGATGGAGATGCTTGGCCGATGGGTCGTGCATCTCATGATTGTGCTCATCTACCCAATCATCAATGTAATAGAGGTTGGTTCGTTTATCCAACTTGAAGTTCATCCTCGCTGGACACCCCCATCTATTCTCTGCCCTACTCCTTTTCCGAACAGTATTATCAATTCGTCCTCCATTCTTTGGATTCTTCGCGCTTTTTTTTCTGTAGCCTCCTTTCGTACATGCGCAATAGATGTAGTGAGCAGTCTCACAAAACTCATTCTTTGTGTTCCTTTTAGGAGCGCCTTCCTTCCTCATGCCAAAGCCTTTGTGATGTGCATATTCTTTATAGAATGACTCTGCATGATCCCTGGACACAAATCTACGCTCTATCCATGTCGATTCATTTGCAGGATCTACCAAATCAATCTCTACAGAAATTATCAAGAAATTAGTTAATAATGGTGCATTTTTTGTTTACTTGTTAATAAGATTGTTATAAATTCGACTTACCCATGTTATCAATATTAAAATCACGAATGTCCATGACAGGTATAGCACTACCATCATTCGTATGAACATCATCCACCACTCCTGCAACATTGAATACATTATGTCATTTGCACGAGTTTTAACATTCCACATATATACAAGATTACTAAGTGTGATTATTAATTAAAAAACAACATTTATTAACAGTTAAAGAAGGCATTATTATTAATCCCACACCAAGTTATTAACATAAATTGTTGACAACTCTGGTCTGTTTTATTAAACATATAGGCATCCAAAGATGCGTCTGTATTAGTAAAAACTTACCAAAAATAACGTCTTTTGGCCTTGACGATCCCATGGAAAACGAGACTAAAGGACACCCACGAACCAGACGACGCCGGAAAACGAGAATATTTTTCAGAACCCAGAAGAAAAGGAGACCCCGACCAGTCGGAATCCAGACGACGACGGCCTACTTTGAGACGACGACGACCCCGACGACGCCGGAAAGCAGAAGAGAAGGAGACGACGACGTCACTCGCCTTCTTTGCGACGAGAAGGTGACGACGACCGGCCTTCTTTGCGACGACGACAGACGCAAAACTAAATAATGGGACGACGACGCCGGAACGCAAGCGCCGCACAGCAGACGAGAAAACGAAGATGAAAGAAAGGGTTTAGGGTTGGAAGGAGTTTCTTTTTCCTCTCGTTTCTTAATTAATGATGGCATTTAATTACCTTTTAATATTCCTAACTTACCCTTTAACGTATTAGGTAGGTAGTTAACCAATCATTACTAATCACTC